GGCACAAAACCCGTGAAAGGTTTTGCTCTGGGTGGCTGCGGGTGGGTTCCACGACACGAGGACGGCTCGACCCACGACCACTTCATGGGTGGGTCGAGCCGTGGCACTATGGCACACCTAAACCCCTAAACCCCAAATCCTAAACCCTAAATCCTACACTCTAAACCCTTATCCCGAATCCTAGACCTTCAACCCCCAGCTCAAGAAGCTCCGGGCGACTTCACAGTGGGGCTTGTAAGCTTAATAATGCTTCTTGTACCCCTAAGGCTCCATATAGGTACAATTTATGGGGATTGGGGCCCAATGTAGGCATTATTTATAGAGTTAGGGCCCCAGGGTACTTGTGGAGTAGTAATGAGCCTAGTCTAGATGACTATTTTGTCAGGTTTTCTGTCTTTGACCATAGTCATAGAACATGTTGATACTGATAATCGTGGTAAGACAAGCAACCAAAATACTGGCTATAAGAAAATAATCATAATAACTGGGTATTGAGAGAAGCTACACCAAGCCTAAGAGCACAAATAATGCAGGGTCCTAAATAGTTATCAACAATGGAGAAGGACATGAAAAATAACATGGGACATGACCTAGGTACTGGGTTTATAAGTGTTTTCTGCAGTGTCTCCTGAATAGTTACCAACATCATTTTAAAGATCTATGTAAGGTACCCTACACCATGGTCCTAGGAATTGAGGACTATAAAACTGCTAGCCCTGCGCTAAACCCTACACTAGGTTGGCGCAGAACTTAAACCCTAAACCCTAAACCCGACATTAACCACGAGACCTCCGGGGAACCTGTCAGGATCCACTTCGTCAACTCACGGCCCACACCTGCTGCTGATCACTCGAAGGGTCGCGGTAGGATTTAGGGTATAGGAGACTTAAAGAAACACACTTCTTCCGACAAAAAAAGACTCTGTGCAATTGATAGAATGGCAGTTCTCCACATTAGCCTACTTACTGAGTTCTCCTGACCGGGCCGTGCTTGAATATCATACATCCCATGGTATGACGTACTGAGAGATCTGCAGGAATTTGCTATCCTCAGCAGTGCTTGTCCAGGTATTGAGGCTGAGAGTTAAGGGTTCGTGATCCTTAACGAAATCACTAGAACCTCAACTCTACTGGGACGGTAGTTTTCCCAAAACAGGGGGACCCCCAATATAGACCCTAATTTACTATAATTCTTATTATGGGGACCCCCATAGTGTGCCCCAATTTTTGGGAAACTCCCAAAAGTTATACCCCAAGCATTGTGGTGCTCAGTACAGAGACCCTGAGGTCCCCTTACAGTCCTCGTACAACGCTTCAGCTTTTAGGGCTTTAGGGTTTAGGGTGTTAAGGTTAAGATGGCACTTACGGACCCCTACTATGGGTTTTTCTTTAGGTACCTACAATAGGAATAGAAGGGAATCCCAAAGGCTTAAGGGTCTAAGCTCCAAGCTCAGTGCCCGGAAGATAACTATGTTAGGTAGGACTTAGGATTTAGGGTTGAGGTTTAGGGGGACGTAGGAAATTTCACCCCAATAACGGAGAATCATCTGCAGAAGAACATGGAACATGAAATGGAAACTGGGACAATAAAGGGTTGCATGCGGGTTGGGGTTTCCAAAAATTAGAGGTCCCTTTTTCAAGGTCCTCTGTTTGGGCCCCTATAAGAAGGACCATGTTGGAAACCACTATACACGGCAAGACCCAAATCGTGACTGATATGATCGTCTTATGATAGGTTTCGCTTTTTCACTGTTTCTGACGAAACGGGTCTATTTGGGGAAGACCCATAGAAAGACGTGTCGCTGACTTTCTTGGAAGGTTTTGTGGTCAGCTATTCCGCTGACAAGCACAAGCCACTGTAACAGCACATCCTGCACAAGCCCATGACAACAGTCATCTTATTGTACGCCCCCGCAAGCAATTGGCGAAACACATCTGAAACCTATCAGAACTTAGAAACGCACGTTGTTCAACGCTCTAGAGGCGTCTGCAATGAAGCACCAAACAGCACTGAATTTTGTGGACGTGGGGATCCTTCTCAAACCATCAGTTTAAACGCATGGCATTGATTTTGGCTGATCTTTGGGTACGGACCTAAATACATCCAAACCCTAAACTCTGGGCGCAGGACCCAAAACCCTAAGCCAGCCTCCCCCTAAACCCTAAACCCTAATTAAACCCTAAGCCAGCCTCCCCCAAGCATGAGGCCCATCGAGTTGAATCCGCAGGCATGGAAAAGGCCACGGAGACCGGGATGTGGACCTGGCAATCATGGGCTATACAGGTTGGGGGTTTAACCCCTAAACCCTAAACCCTAAGCCCTAAACCCGGTTGGGGTTTTAGGGTTTAGGGTTTAGAGGTTTAGGGGTTCAGGGTTTATCGAGTTAAGGTTGACGGATTCAGGGTTGTGGGGGTTTAGGGATTCAGGGTTTTCAGGCTTGGGGGTTTAGGGTTTAGTGTACATCGACTCGGGGTTTGGAGTTTAGGGGTCATTTATACGGGGATATAAGGGACATATTGGGCTCAGAGATTACCTATTGGCGAATGAAAAGAATGGAAGATGCAATGGAAACTTGGATGATATGGGGATCTAAGATTGAATCGCTAGGTATGTACAGCTTGAAAATGTTCGAAACACTCTTGCTATGAAATACTAATTCGTAACTATAAGAGGCTATGGCTTCTTCCCTGTTACTACTTGGCTTTGCCGTACCTACGTTGCAAATGATGGGTTCACACATCGTTGAGAAAGAGGTGCCACTGCTATGAAAGCTGCAAGTTCTACTGATGTGTACCTATAACTTTCAGGATTTAGTGTTCAACATGTCGACATGTCAACGCCTTCGCCTTCAAGATGTAACCATTGCAGTCAGAAATGAGGGTTCAGAGTTTTAGCCCGGGCTTTGGGCTTGGAAATCGCAATGACTAGCTGCCCAGCAATGTTTCCCAAGCGTCCATGCACCTGTGAAGTAGATATCTGAGCCCAAAATACGTGCATAGGAACCCCTTTGTGTCCAAAGTATATGCTATGTGGGTAGCTGGACCAAATAGGTTTGGACTGGTTGCATATGTCTCAACACCCTGGGCTCCTCTGATTTTCGCTTTTTGTTGGATTTCTCTCAAAATTACTAGTATTATAGGGTACATATTGGGAATAATACGGGTTATATTGGGATGATGGAAAATAAAATGGAAACTACTATAGCATATTGGGTTCAGGGTTTAGGATGTCTCATTGAGGGAAGATTTGGCGTTCCAACTCCAAACCCGAAAGTGTTCAAAACCTGCTGCCCATTAACCTCCCGAGCACATTCCTGAAACTCAACAGACATCAGCCCTACTGAGCCCTAAATGGTAGTTTGCCAAAATGAGGGGACCCCAATATAGACCCCAACATACTATAGTCCTTATTATAAGGACCCTCGAAAGGGTACCCCTAATTTTTCGGAAACCACCAAATCTCAAGCATTTCCCTGGCACAGAACAGCAGATGAAGGGAAGCCCAGACTGAGCCTTAAAGAATCGATGCTGTCATGGGATTTGGGCCCCTGTTCATGGGAGCCATAGCCTAAACACTAGTACCTTCTCTTGGTCCCCTGTAATACTCTCCTATATAGTCCCATATATAGCCCTCATATGGAGTTTAGACTATAGCTCATGTCATCGCCGAGCAACCCATGAGGGGCTTGTGGTCCGGCGTGAAGGACTCAGGCCCGCAAACGGTGGACTTGATCCCGGTCTCCTGGGTTTAGGCTTTGGGGTTTCAGGGTTTAGGGGTTTGGGGTTTAGCTTTTAGGGTTCAGGGTGCTGTGCAAGACGTCGTTGATCTGCGACCTTCTAGGTGGTTGAATCACGTAAGAGTGCAAGCCTAAGCTCTGAACCCCAATCCTTACACCCATGCGGTTTGGGGTTTAGGGTTGAACCCTGTAACCCTAAAACTGAAAGCACAAGGCGTTAACTCCTATAGACGGATGATCCCTTAATGAAATATCATTGACAGCCACAACTGCATATTCCTTGCTGAGATTCATTTAGTAGCACAAAATCAAGCAACTATAGATGACGTCTATCCAAAATTGACCCTGCAAACCGCCATATCTCCTCGATCACCGGACATCGCTGCATATGCCCTGCCAGGTTCTGCCCGAAAGTGTCATAGTCCTTGGGATTTAGGGTTCAGGGTGTTGGGTCTAGATGGCAGATTGTCGACAATTATGATGCCGTTTTGGGGTCCCCGTTTTTAGTACGGCCCCTAGTAATTACTTGGGGGGACCTGAAAAAGGATCATAGTTTTGATCACCAGCCAGATCTTTGCACGTGTTGAAGTCAGTGTAGCGTGTAGGGCTAGCAATCCAGAATGCCTGAAGCACATTTTCACCAAAAGCCCTCACGCGCGACCGTCTTGCCAACATAGTCCCTCACGTGAAAGTGCCATACCCCTTTGTGTGCTAACGTGCATTCTGAGTTACAGCAACAAATCGATCTGAATTCCAGCAACTCTACTGCAAAGGTCTTGATGCACCCTAAAGCAAGCGTACAAACTTGGGGTGATGTCTGCAGAGCAGACCAGATACTACTTCGGAGGTATGAAGCTTGTGCCATGCTGCGGGCAAAAAAGCTAAAAAGACACCAGCGCTGCGGAGCGAGTCATCTTCAAAAAGTCGGGAGGACGAACATCCTCCGAACTCGCAAAAGCCCAACCCGAAACCTTCAAACAAACCCTCAAACCCTCCAGAGCACGCCATTTGTCACCAGGTTGCAAGCTCAAAGAGGCCAAATGCAAAGCCCGGATCGACATCAGGCCAGAACTCCGGGTTCTGCTCATAGCCGCCTATTGCCATCGAGTCGCCTTGCGTTTTCAAATACCTGGTCTGCTGTGCAATCAAACTGAAAGCCAAACATTCGAGCGCTTGCCGGCATGAATGAATGTATGTAAGTAAGTATGTAGGTCGGTAGGTATGTATGCGAGTATGGACGGATGGCGGACTGACAGATGGATGGATGGATTGATTCTTGTACGTCAGTGTGTGCTGCTGGCAAAAAATGTTCCCGTATTGTGCCGCCCAAAACTACTCTAGCGCATATCATAGAAGCCCACAAAGCACCCCAAAGAGGAACGTCTAGCTTCTGGAACTCCCACGAGCACAGAAAAGTACTGCCTCAGCCTGTACCAGATACACGCTAAGGTCGTGATCCCGGACGTTGGGCAGGCCGCTGTGCATGCCAGCGATGGGTTCGGTGAGTACCATGGCATGCTTCATGGCCTTCAAAGGAATCTGCGCACCTGGCATAGTTTTTTACAGGTTTCGTCTTTGGAAAGGCGGGGAGGCATACTGACATCGACCTTTATAAAACTTAAGGGCAGACTGGCAAACCTACTAAAGTTGTCACATCGGGGGTGTATTTGGGGAAACGGAATGAAGGTAGGAATCTCACAAGGAGGAAGGCCTTCCACATGAAGCTGAAAAACAGGTAGGGTCACACCAGCGGCAAGCACACTTTCTGGCCCCTTTTCAGATGAGTTGGTGTTCAGACACAGGGCCACCTAAACCCTAAATCCATGGACCAAGTGCAGGCTGTTGGTAGGGCGATGTGGGCAGGAGCAAGTCGGGACGGGTAAGATGTTGCGGCTACGAAAGGAAACTGAAACACAAGCATGTGGGCACCGCCGGCTATTCTCCTACTGTATGCGTACAAAAAAAGGTTTTTGTACTGACCTAGTAACTGTATTTGTTGGTACAAGAGTGGGATTGTAATTTTGGGAGTTATCAATGTTATGCATTCCTCAACGCTTTCTGCCCCAAGAAGCTTCCCACCAAAATTGACCTTGTTGCTGAGATGTTCATTTCACGGGCTTTGTTTTAATGTTTCGCTCCTCCCATTGAACGAAAACCCTGTAAGCCCTACACACCCAATACGCCCTGTAAAGCGTATAAATTCTAAGCCCTAAACCCTCAACCCCTAAATCCTAAACCCCTAAGCCCCAAATCCTAAACCCTAAGTCCTAAACCCCTAAACCCCAAATCCTAAACCCTAGATCCTGAACCCCTGAACCCCAAATCCTAAACCATAAATCCTAAACCCATTGAATGAGGCAGCAGGCCTACCATGGCCGCAATCTCATTGGCCCACGCGCCGCAGGCATTCCTGGATGGCTCTTAAGGTTTTTAGTTCAAGTACGATAATATGGGTATATAATAAGAAATACGGATTTAAAGTACCATAACTATGGGTACGTAGCGTGTAGGGTGTAGGGTTTAGGGGCTTAAGTTATCATAAGTCATAATATGCATATATAGTAGACAATAAGGCATCCTTATTATCGCAGCTTTATATTTGAATGCCTTAGTTAACAGCAACCCAGATTCACGACTGTTGGGGTCTCGATCCTCTTTCCGCAGCTGGTCAGGACAGCCTGTGGGTTGCTTTTCAGGAAGTTAGGGTTTAGGGTTTAGGGTTTGGGTTTAGGGTTTAGGGTATAGTCCCCCTTAAGTAGATAGAATATGGGGTATGCAAGGATCTTATTATAATATACCCAAAGCCATGTTCTATCTACTTAAGGGGGACTATAAGGGTTTAAGGTTGAAGTTACCATTATATGGGTATATAGGGTATGGGGTTTAAGAGATTTGTTACCATGCAGTGGGTATATAGTGAATAAAGAAAGAGATTCCTTATTGCAGTAGCTGAACTTACGTTGCTTAACAGCAACCCAGTTGGTGCACTTACCCACTGTGGGGTCTAGGGCCTGCAGATTCCCGGAACATGGCCCAACAGGAAATACATACAAATGACTACCCATTATAATTCAACATACCATCGACAACAAATCACATTTTGTTAATAGTATGGACCAGGTCGGTTGGGGAGGGGTAATTCCGGGAGGGCTATTGCCCCCAGAGCCTTGATGCGTCTCCCTGGCGCAGATCCGGCAGTGAGGTAGTCCTCCACCTCTATGCCGCTGACCCCTACGTTCTCATACACGCCGCCCCCAAATTTCCGCGAGGCTTTCGCGTAAGCATTGCAGACGCTGGTGGGGTCTATGGTGCCGTCACCAGGAGAGTACACGCCGCCATAGATGTCGTCAATCCGCAGGAGCGGGTGCACCTCTTTCACCTCTGATGGTGAGAGCACATGGCTCTCGATGCCGAAATATTTACCTTGGCTGACAGGCACGAATACACCATGGAAGGGTTCAGGAAGGACTTGCAGAACCTCAACCCTATCCAAAGGCTCCTGTTACTTTAGGGTTCTTCTTTGGCAATGCAATGTGAACCCTGACGAAGCCACACAGGAAATCCAAGAAGTAACTGAAGGGGGGCCTTTGGGTAGTTCCTGCCGGAGCAGAAAAAATCCTCAACCCTACATAAAACCCTAAACCCCAAACCCTAAATCCTAGACCCTACACCTAAACCATGAATCCCAAAACCTCAAACCTTAAACCCAAAAACCTTAAACCCCAAATCCTAAACCATGAATCCTAAAACCATACACCTGAAACCCAAGGCCCAGCTACCAGTTTCTGCAAAGCGTTTGTACTCAGCCAGACGCTCTGCGTTCGTCCCCACAAAGAGGCCACCTGAATAGTTTCAAAGGTTTAGGGTTTAGGGTCTAGGGGTTTAGGGTTTAGGGTCTAGGGGTTTAGGGTTTAGGGTTTAGGGTTTAGGGGTTTAGGGGTTTAGGGTTCCCCATTACGCTTCTTCGTGCTTTTCATGAACCTTATAGGGGGGTACCCGGCTGGTAACTATACCTGGGGGCGTCCTGGATGTGGATGCTTGGCATGAAAGGGTTGGAGTAGAACCGTGCCTCCCCGCAATAGGCTATCAAGTACCTGAGTAGGATAAATCTGCGCCCGAAGTGGGTTCTTGTGTCCTAGATTTTCTGCAATGTAGGTATTTAGACACTTGGGGAGAGGCCAAGAAGCACCTTAAAATCAATGCGATCAATGTTGTTTAATTGTTTTTGCGGCTCGCGATGCTGTGAATTGTCTGTGGATATCTTTCTGCTGTGGAGAACCTTCATATCTGCATTCAGAAGCTGTCCCTCTCCAGCATGAAGAGATTCTTGCAAATATCCTGGTACCCTTGGCTGCTCCAAAATCCAGGACCCTAAGCCACCTTAGCAACGACTCAGGGTCCCTATTGAGCCAGAACGCACACCACTGCCCCAAGAGTCCTTCAGGGACCAAGCAGGTACCAACCTAATCTAGACTTAGGCCCTAAGTCATGTACATGGAGCCAATTTGGGGCCCCAACAAAAATATACTCCTTATGAGACAGGCCTCGCAAAAGGGACCCTGTTTTTTGGAAGCTTTCAGCCCTGAACCTTAAACCCTAAACCCTAAGCCGCGTTTGGGAGTCTTGCTGAACCAAGCCACCATTTTCGGTCCAACTGGCTATCTCTGTTTCCTCCTCTAGCTTTTTGCACATCTCACCTTGGCAGATGAGGCACTTAAGGGTTTGAAGTCCTAGGTACACTCTCACCCCAAACATTCGGAAGGCCCAAACGGGCCTTGCGAATACTGTTTTGAGGGTCATGGGAAATTAGGCTAGTATTCGGGCCTGCTAGGGTTATTTTATGGCTTATGAAGTTTATTAAACACTTACCGAGTCCCTCTGACTTCATAGACGGTATTACGAGCTTGAGTCACTTTGAATTAGCATTTAATTTTAAGAAATACACTGAATTTTCATGAGCCAAATCTTAGATTCGGAATAGATTTGTACAATGGTTTTATCAGGACTTTAGACAGCTTTTCATTACATCTCTAATTCACCTTAGTTAACTTTAGTTGATCCGCTACATGTCATAAAGCCCATCCCTAACAATAAGCACGGGGGGTGGGTTAATTAGGGAGGGACGGGGAGACGTTTATTATTAGGGGGAAGGGATTAGCATGGAACCCGCCTTTGCTTGGAAAACAAGCACCTTGAAATGGATGCGAAGACCCTAGGAAAGAGGATTCTGGCACAAAGTATATACTTTCACGAAGGGATCCGGGGTTTGCCATGTCTTCGTGTGAAGAAATGTGTTGGCGCCGAAACGTTTTACTGTTCCTAAAGCCCTATTACTTAGGTCCTTAGACCCTTAATGCCTGAAAGAGAAGGCCTGCTTTTGGGTGTTTGTGCGTTGAGAATCCATATGAGCCATGGTCAAAATTCTTTACAGGGGGTTATACTAGGGCTCATTTGACCTGCATTTCTGGCTCATATGCAGCTCGAATGGTTTGGAGGTTGTCGAAGCGTCTGACAGGGACTTGACGGTAGTGATGAAAGCATTGCACTCCACCATACTCATCGGTTCCCCCTGAGATTACACCCCACGAAAAAAAAAAAAAAAAAAA